TTTAATTTTTTTTCCCTAAAATATGGCAACACCTTTGTTTTTTATTGCGCCTTCACATATTTTCACTTTGCGTCGTTTCAATTTGCGTCGTGTTTTTTTTTGGAACGTAACCCCGACGCAAAGCGAAGTATGGGTGTACTCTATTTTAGATAATTGTAGTTGATGAAGTAACAAATAAATATTCTTTTGCTTAAGTTTTGTCCATGAGTATGTAGATGGTAACATTGATCAGCTTGAAACCATGGTATGTATACAGGTTGTTGACTTTTGTCTGAATTTGTCAAAACTGGTATTGTAGCTCATTCTTTATCATTACCATTACGTTCTTGCAAAAGTCCAACCCCACCAGTGAATACAAGTAACCAAAACGGGCTCTGGCATATTTGTAAGTGCAAAGTCGAACTTCTTTTCACATGTGTAGACATGTGGTGCACTTACAGTAAAAGTAGTCGCTAACTACCCACCATGATTATCATGGCCTGTACCACGTGTACTAGGGATAAGCAAAAAAAACCATTACGTTCAATACTGTGTTGATAAACAAAATGCATTGTTTTAATGCATTTTTAAAAGGAAAGGTGACTCTTTTGGTACATTTTTAAAAGGAAAGGTGACTCTTTTGGTACATTTTTAAAAGGAAATGTGACTCTTTTGGTACATTTTTAAAAGGAAAGGTGACTCTTTTGGTACATTTTTAAAAGGAAAGGTGACTCTTTTGGTACATTTTTAAAAGGAAATGTGACTCTTTTGGTACATTTTTAAAAGGAAATGTGACTCTTTTGGTACATTTTTAAAAGGAAAGGTGACTCTTTTGGTACATTTTTAAAAGGAAAGGTGACTCTTTTGGTACATTTTTAAAAGGAAAGGTGACTCTTTTGGTACATTTTTAAAAGGAAAGGTGACTCTTTTGGTACATTTTTAAAAGGAAAGGTGACTCTTTTGGTACATTTTTAAAAGGAAAGGTGACTCTTTTGGTACATTTTTAAAAGGAAAGGTGACTCTTTTGGTACATTTTTAAAGGGAAAGGTGACTCTTTTTGTAGATTTTTTTCAATATGAATACAGGTATTTATTGAAACCACCCTCGTACACTTTTAGACTACTATTCAAATGGTTACAGAAAAATTATCTTGGTACCTGAATACTTTCCTCTCGCATTATTGTGCGCTTTAATTCATTTACTAAATGGATTTTATTTATTTTTATTAACAATAGAGAATGATAAAGCACAATTTGGATTATAGATTATAATATCCAAATAATTTATTAGTGCATTGATGGAAGGCTAGTAAAATTGCTCTCTATTCTAATCAATGTTACCGCTTTACCTGGAGTGTACAATACTGGGAGCCAGGTTAGCTTGGTGGAAAAATGGTCCTTGACTGTTGAAAACCTGTGATTACAGGTCAGTTGAGCTTTAGAATTAAATGGTAAATTCTAGATTCCAGAGGTCGCGGACGATATCTTCCCGATACCATTTTTTTTTACACACTAATAAATTATTTGGATTAGGTCTTATTTTCCTTTATAACAATAAAGAAGTAACCTTTATGCATACGCACACT